ACGTGTAATATTATTTTATAGAAGATTATATGGTTGAAAATAGAAGAAAGAAAAATGAAATGTAATAGAATTTAATGTAATGGAGCTCAAACAGGGGCTAAATGTCTTAAACATTTATAATCTTTATTTGTTATCATAATTATATTATTAAATTTTTTATCACATTTTTATCATCAACCTTTTGTTAATTAGTACATCTATCTTCAATGACGATTTCTTTAAAAAAAAATAAAAATTGTTATCGTACTTTAGAATGAGTGACAAATAAAATCATAATTTTACATTTTATTTTTTTGCTAATTTTATAATACGATGAACAAATATGGATTCTTTAATATTTTAAATATTTAAATGACGTTAATCATCTAAAATACCTTCTATGAAATTTTCTCCTGTTTTCTCCCCCCATTTGGTATGGATTAAAATTTGAAATTTAATATAAATTAAAGTTAATAATTAATTTCATCCACATATTTTATAAAATTTACAATTTTTTAGACATATGCTTCACTATTTTTATTTTTATCAAAATTTACTAAAAATTTATTTTTAATCCCCACCAAACAAAGGCATATAATATTTTTCTAAGTTAAAATATCTCGAGATTACGAATAGAAGTGTAGAAACGTGTCAAGGAAGATACTTAACTTGGACGGAGATTTTGAGCATGTTTGTCTTCCATTATAGGAGAAATTAAAAAAGTTTTGAATATTATTTTTTGAAAAATATGTATTTAAAATTTAAAGAAACATTATTGGTTTGTGTGTAAAATATTTTATTTTGTGAATGTGTAGTAAAAAATGTTGTTATAGCAAACAATTTAATTTATTTAAGGATGACAAACTGGGACTTAGTTGTGGGACCGATTGATGTCTCTTGGGAGGTCTTCTTTTATTGTTGGTTAAGAGTCAGGTCAAATGCAACAATTTGGCCAGTAGTCGTGGCTCTAAGATAGTGATTGGTTAACGATTTCAAATTGTTAATCATCATCAACTTACAAAAAATAATATGATATTCGTTAACCATGACTTGAAATTAACTAACAATTTCCAGTTACGCTTGATTAGGATTGGGATCTGGGATATATACATAAATACAAGTCTATGCTATGTGCGATGCACGAGCTATGTATGAATTATGGTTTGGTTAGCGTATGTATTGAATGTGTTTAAAAATATATGGGAAATTTGAATTATTGGCAAGGAACTAACTAGTTATACGAGTCGACCACTCGTCTTTCTTCCACAAAATGTCATATTTCTATCAAAAGTTGCAAAATCAATAAAGTCCATTAATAATGAGAATTCAAGTCATAATTAGTCAAAGAAATACTCCACCGGACAGTAANTTTTTTTTTCCTTCTTTTTATTAGTAAAATCGCATACCTTTCAGAGCCAAAATTCTGGTATTAGGATTCATAAGTGCAGAATCTGCAGTAATAGGCCGCCTCAATGGCTGTGAGGGCATGTTCATGTCGATGATCACCACACTGTTCTGAGGTGCTGTCTCGCGTACGCATATATACTTATCAGATTCCATAGTCACATTGGTGAAAGTAATAAACTGTGAATTGATCCCTATGCTAGGCAACTGCATCACCACATCAAAACATACCAAATTCAAATTCCAAATCAAAATTCCAACATTCAAATTAAATAAAAGATCTAACATTTAACTGTATAATGGAGATGCAAACTGTAATTTAAAAAATTCAAGCAAGTAAAACTACTATCGATGGGTCAAATCAAGCGATTATGAAGCCACGATAACCATCCAAATACGAAGATTTGTTCGTTGTGATAATTTAAAAGAGCAGTCAATGAGTTGAAAATGTATCGAATCGGGGGAAATTGGGTTGAATAATCAATAAGTCGTGAGAAATTGACAGTGAAAACGAAAAGTGGGAGGGGGGTACCGTGAGAACTTCTTTCATAGTGATCGGAGCGTTGGCGGCAGCCATGGTGGCGGCGAGAGAGCAAACCTTCGAGATCGGAGCTCCGGATCCAGAGATGGGTCAGAAATTGATAAAACGACAGCGTTTAAAAAGGGAATTCAAGGCGTTGCAAGAAATCTGGAGCAACTAAGGAACCCTCCGAACCCACCGTGACTAAATAGAACTAAAACAGATCTACAGAAAGATGGTCTCTTCTGAAGAGAGAAGCTCAGCTTCGAGGGTTGTGTGTATATGTGAAAGCTTGAATGGAATGTTCTTCAGTCGAAAATTATAAGCGAGATCTCTAAAACAACAGGGAAGGGAGAAATTATCCCGTTGGTCGCCAAACTTAGTGACTTTATCAACTGGGATCATAACTTTTAAAAAGAGTAACTTGATCCCAATAGTTTGATTTTATCGCACCCAATAGTTTTTATCCAATTTACTATTAATTAAAGCAATTACAGTCACACGTATTATTATTATTACTTTTAATAAATGCACCACATCTTAAGCCCCTGTTTGATCCCCATTACGTGGAAAAATTAATGGGGGGAATAGTATTTTTTTGAAAAATCAGTGGTTGAAAAAGAATGAAAAATTTTCGATTTACGTGTAATATTATTTTATAGAAGATTATATGGTTGAAAATAGAAGAAAGAAAAATGAAATGTAATAGAATTTAATGTAATGG